AGGAGGGGGGGGGAGGGAGGAGGGGGGGGGAGGGAGGGATCAGCATCCCAGTGGTGGTGTTGAGAAGGTCTCTCTGGGTTGATCATGGTGCTCTGACCTGGGGCTGCTTGAAACCTGCAAGGAAAGCGGGGCCCACCAGGAGCCCCAGGGAAGGCAGTGGCGGGCCGGCCAGGAACTGGTCCTTGGGCAGCCCCGGAGAGGCCGCTGGCTCAGCCGCTCTCTCATTCCAACCACAGCAGACTGTTGCTGGGGCCCGCCTTGTGTAGGTAGTCAGGCTCAGTCCTGGGATCAGCTTCTCCAACTTGAGGGGGTTGAACTGAAGAAAAGCTAGCCAGAATGACGCATGGGAGCCTGGGGACTACAACTCCCATAACGCCCACCCAAGACAGTAACTCCTTTGCCATGGGAAGTATCAGAAACGTGATTCCTTACCAGCTTCTCTGCTCTTCCCTCTGCCTTTTGCAGGCCAAGATGCCCTTCGATGCCAACAAGCTCTATTGCAGTGAGGTGCTGGCCATTCTCCTCCAGAATACAGATGGTGAGCCCTGCTCCTGCCCGGCCCTTGCTGGGCCCCGTTGTGCTGCCTCTGCTGCACTCACGCACCGTCCCGCCTTCTCCTCACCTTGATGCTCCCCGCTTAGATGCTCTGTCAAGCCGTATTGATTTTATTTGCTGATATCGCTGTGGTAGGTGGCTGTAAAACCTGACCTTTGGCCTCCTTTCCCCCTCCTCTCCTTCCTGTAGACAACCGGGAAATGCTTGGAGAGCTGGATGGGATCGATGTGCTGCTTCAGCAGTTATCGGTGAGTAATTTGCTGCCCTCTTGCTTGCCCTGGAAGTGGGCTAGAGGGAGAGGGGGTGGAGGAGGAATGGTGGGCAAAGCTCAGCCAAGGGGAGAGGAGCAGGTGCAGCGGGAAGAGAACAGAAGTTGAAGCCTGGCATGCTTTTAGTCCCTTGCGGGGGGCTGCAGTCCATGTGCTTTACGTGGAACAAATGGGCTCCTGGCTATGAAGGATCAAGAAAGAGCATTTCCCCTCTTTTCACTGGGGAAAAATGGATACTGGACACAGTCAGCCTTTGGTCTCTGCAAGGATCTTTTCTTCAAATACAGGTAGTCCTTGACTTACAGCCATTCATTCAGTGACCATTCGAAGTTACCGCAGCACTGAATGAAGGGACTTATGACCGGTCCCCAAAATTATGGCCACTGCGGTGCCCCCGCGGTCACGCGATCAACATTTGGATGCTTGGCAGCCCACCCGCGCTTACAACTGCAGGAGTGCTTCAACTCACCCCACCCACCTATTTCCCCCCACCTATGCCCTTTTGGCCCCCTGCACTCTGTGGCACCTGCTGCCCCAGCTGACCTTCGCCGTCTTCTTGCTCCCGCTGCTGACCAAGCATGCCTGACCTGGCCCTTCGTGAGGCACCTGCTGGCCACACAAGGCTTTCTTTCCCAGCCTGTGCATGGCAGTTTCCTCATGAGACCTGGAGAAGATGGCCTCACCTGGTTCACAGCTGCCTCACAAAGGGCCAGGGTGGGCATGCCTCGTCAGCAGTGGGAGCAAGAAGACAGCGAAGGTCAGCTGGGGCGGCAGAGCGCAGGGCACCAGGGGCCTCAGAGTGCAGGGTACCGAGGGCGACTGGGACTGGGCTGGGGTGGCTGGGCCTTCCCAGGGCCTGCTGGCTTTTCACTGTGCTGCTTGGCTGGGCTGGGGCTGGGCTTTGCATGGCACACAAGGGCTTTCTGGCGCACCACAGCTCTAGGGCTTTTTGCTTTTTGCAGCCCCAGAGCTGCGGTGCCCCAAGAAGCCCCTGAGCCGCAGCGTATTCTTTTCCCAGCCTT